CCCCCCCGCCCCCTTTAGTTTTACTTTGAGACAGGGTCTTGCTAAATTGCTTAGGGCCTAGCTAACTTGCTGAGGCTGGTCTTGAACTTGGGATCCTCCTGCCACAACCACCGATGCCTCAAGGATTACAGGCTTGTGCCACCGCACCCTGCTTTCATCTGTTTTGTGTCTCAAATTATCCGAAACAAACGTTTTATCAAAAGCAACAAAAACAAAAGTTTAAGAACTTCGGGTGCAAATAGAAACTTCTTGAAATGCAGCAGTACTTGTCCCTCTTCAGCACGTACCTCTACTGAGAGGCGCGCGGGCAGGTGTTGGTCCCTGTGCCTGGGCCAAACAAGTCAGAGGCGCTGCTCCAGCCGAGGCTCCTCCCCGGAGCCGCAGGGGCGCCGGACTCTGCCCTGGACGCACCCTGCGGGGGCGGAGCCGAATCTGCGGCACCAGCACAGCCCCGGGGAGCAGACCTTGGCCTCAGCACCCGGCCAGAGAGCCCAGGCGAGAATCAGAGGGGACCCTGCACTGACTGAGAGCCTCCAAGGTAGGCGAGCCCTGGAGACCTGCGGGCAGCGCGCGCCAGGTGGGTGGGTGTCCGGGTGCCCTTGGAGCGGGTGTCCCCAGCGGAGCTCGGTGCACCAAGGACATTTCCTGGAAAAGGGTCTTAGGGAAGAGAAAACCTTCACCAAGATAAACCTCTGTTCTGAGCCTGGGCGAGAAGTTTCTTTGCCCCAGAGAAGAGAAAGAGTTACCTTTCCCCAACAAAGGAACCACTCTCTCCTTAGCCTGGCGCACACCTGATTATTTATTTAGTTTGTTGTTATCCATTTCCTCGGTCATAGATCCCCGCGATTTCTGTCTGCTAATTTCAGGAGCGGTGGAGAAAAACTCTCTGGAAAACCGTGCCCTGTATTCCAGCCTGGCAGTCACTGCATCCTCAGTTTGTAACCGCCAAGAGGAAGGAGGGTGGTGGTCTGGCCCCTCATTCATTCCTTTCGCGCAGTTGCCAGCGCAGCAACGGGACAGACCCCTGCTTGACAGTTTGGTACAGTTTCTGTTGAGGAGGCATCTTAGATATTTTTAAATTTCATATTGCAGAGCCCTAAGCAGAACTGCAAAGAAACAGTATTACTTTTCCAAGAGTAGTACAGGACAATGCAAATGTCGTTTTTTAGATTGGGTGGTGCCATAGTTGTGAATTTTCAGCTTTTTTTTTTTTTCCAAAAGAAAGAAGAAAAAAAAGCCAATGGAATATAAACCTCAGAACCTGCAACCAGCCCTGAGCATAACCCAAGTTGATCACCTTTATATTACCGTCGTTTTATTTGAGGAATCAAACCTCTCTTCCTTTTTCGGTGTATAAAGAGTAGATGAGGTGTCAAACACAAAAGGGAGTTATTCTGCATTTGCAACAGAGGAAAGATAAGCTGACCCTCTGTTTTTACCTAGTGCCATTAAATATTCAGCTCTATGGAAAGACTGGTTTACCGGAAATTTGAGCTGGGCTGGATTGTCAGGGGCCCTAGCACACACAATTGGATCTGTTGTAAAGGTTGTTCCCCTCCCCCTCACAATTTGAGAGTGAAGGTCCCTAACAGGGAGGAATTTGTGCCTAAGGCAGTTTAGATCCTATGTGGTTCCTGTTCTATTTATGGAATGAATGAAAACAGGTCCTACTTCCTGGGACCCAAGCAAACTTGATAAGTTTCTTACTCTTCCTTACTTACAACATAAATTATTACCTTGTCCCAACTAAAAAGGGACTTCTGAAATGAATACTGAAGCTACTTCCTGAACTACTAATGGGCATGTTATTTATTAGGCTAGTTATTTACAATGTGCTCAGCAGTGAACTTGAATTCTAATTCAAAGTTTGGCCCAAACTAAAAAATGTAAGCTAGATTTGGTAAAAGATGAAAAATGAGAGGTATATTTATTTGGGATAATGACTGAAAAGGGAAAAAATGGAGTTTTTTAAGGGAATTCGAGAGTCTTGTAAAATTGTAGTTTTGAACTGAGATATTTACATCAGATTTGTACGATCATTTATAGATTGAACATTTTTATAATGGCAAAATTTTACTATGGATTTAATAGCATATTTAAATGAATTTACCTTTTATTAAGCCCAAAAACAGCCATCCACATGGGTTTGGAAAACAAGTGTATATGGGGATATATGTGCATATATTCAGTTTTAGAAAATATTTGTATTTGTTGCATCCATGATTTTGTGGATAAATACTGGCCTTGTTCGCACATTCATTGGGCCAGTATTTATTGAGCACCTTTTATACAGGTTACTGTATTCTGTGTTGGAGTGCAAGGGGACATAGTACTATCTTATTATACAACATTGGGGTCCTGAGGGGCACCCCAAGATCACAGATTAGGAACCACATCAATAACTATCAGTTTTGATAGTGACTAAATGTAGGTTGGTTTCTAATGCCATACTCTCTTACACTGATTTAAATAATCAATTCTAAAAAATTATAAAGAAGCTTTCATATTATTCTGTTCAGTGATATCTCTCTCTCTCTCTCTCTCTCTCTTTCAGATTGGGGAAGAATTTAGGAATCATGTGTTCTAGTTTTAATATTATTAAATATTGAAGTATTAAACCTAAAATAGCTAAACATGGATTTCATACACATTAAATGGAAACTAAACTTGTATTGTGAATGTCAATCATCTAGGTGAAAAATATCTTAAAATGGAGAAAATAATTTTTCCTTTAAATTAAAAAAAATGTGACTACAATTATATTTATCCCAGAGGGGGAAAAAGTCACTTTATTTCAGTTATACTTACTTTTTATTATTTTTTAAAAAACTACTTTGTTGGAAGTGTAATTTACATAACCATAAAATACATCCAAGGGTCCAGTTCAATGATTTTTAGTAAATTTACATGATCATATAAGTATCACCACAGTCCAATTTTAGATCATTTTGTCGTTCCCCCAAATCCCTGTTGTCTGTCTGTGGTCCCTCATCTCCACCCCTCACCCTGGGCAACTACTTTTCTACTTTCTCTATTTAGATTTACCTTTTCTGGACATTCCATGCAAATGAAGTCATGTAACAAATGCTCTTTAGCATCTGTCTTCTTTCATATAGAATAAAGCTTTTGAGGCTCTTTCAGGTGGTAGCATATATCTGCACTTCGTTTCTTTTTATTGCTAACCAGTATTCATTCAATTTGATGACTGTACCATACTTTGTTAATCAGTTGGTGGCTATTTCTGCAATTTTTTAAAATAGTAAGACAGATATATTGGTCTGGCTTCCATAGAAGCATAATTTGAAAATAATTGACATGAGCCTTCTTATTATTAGATGTTTTGATTCTCCTTCATGATTTAAAATATTAACGCCAAGAGTTAAGTTCCTTTTAAGCAAGTGAGCTTTCCTATGTGGAACTATTTAGAGAACCAAATAAGACCTTCTTAATGTTGATCTTTGGTGTGCTTCTTTAAGGAGTCAGGAATCTTGAACAGCAGTTCTCAGTTTAAATTTTTTCTTATACTCCCCTTTTATCCCGCCTTGTGCTACCATGGCAGGTACATGGGGTGGGAGTGGTGAACAGGTCATGCTTGACAACTTATACTTAGAGAGATTTCTCTATTTGAATAGCAACCTTTCTCTAAAAATCTGGTGGTTTTTGTGAATCAAAAGAAGAAAAGACAGTGTCTTTCTGAGTGCCTTTCAGTTACTACTCAAATTGAAAGTTCATATCGGGGGAAAAATAGAACATTAAAATAAATAGCTTGAAGTTTAGTTTATTGGTAACTTAGAAACAAGAGATTTTCTTAAACATTGAAAATCTGAAAATAAGACAGCCTAGTAGGTCAAATAATATGGCTTTCCAAAGCTAAATGTGTTCCTGTGGAATTCTGTTTTCGTCTGAAATGTCCAAACAACTTCCTCTATTTCTTAGGTGAAGGCAGAAGTTTAGTGATCAATCTCAGTTGGTAGCAACACCCCCATCCTTAGGAAGGATTTTAAGAATTTTAAAACTGATACATTTTTCTTGCCTCATAGTGACAACTTTATTTGAAATATCTCCTAAGAAGTCTGTTCCATTTTCAGGAATCCTCCTTCACCCTTCTTACTTTCACGTGCTTCAGGTATCCAGGTAGAAACATTCACCATGCCGTGTGGGTGCTCCAGGAGGACAGAGGCTTGGTGGTCCCAGCACTGTGAGCACCTCTGATGATTATGATGGGGTCCCTGGGTCGTGACGATCTGGTATCATCCAGGACAGGCAGCTGCCTCTCAGCCTTGTATCCTTCTGGATTTTAGTAGGAGGCTGCTCTCTGATAAGGTAGACATCTTCGTGGCACAGAAGGGTGAGCAGACAGTGACCAAAAGGAGGTTCCTGGGATTGAATAGACTTTCTACTCCTGGACCCCATTGCCCACATGCAAATGGACAAAGATGGAGGATAAAAACATGTTGTGCATCTAAAAAACTGTTAGGAAAGGGATGAATAGACAAGAGAAGGAATCTCATTTGTGTTTAGATTTAATTCTTGTTTCAGGTGTCCTTCCTTCCTTCCTTCCTTCCTTCCTTCCTTCCTTCCTTCCTTCCTTCCTTCCTTCCTTCCTTTCTTTTGATTGAACTCAGGGGCACTTGACCACTAAGCCATATCCCCAGCCCAATTTTGTATTTTATTCACAGATAGGGTCTCATTGAGTTGCTTAGTGCCTCAACATTGCGGAGGCTGGTTTTGAACTGGTGATCCTCAGCCTCCCAAGCCGCTGGGATTACAGGTGTGTGCCACTGCACCCTACTTCTTGTATTTCTTATATATTCTATATATTTCCTTCCACTCTTTCACCTTAGTAAATAGTGCTCATCATTAATTTCCTTGCAATGTCTAAAAGACTTTTGTGTCTGTTGTTACATTAGATATCCGCTGTTACTATCTTGAGCTTCAACAGTTCAACCTACCTACCTACTGACCTACCTACCACCTCTCTACTTACTTGTCAGAGTTCACTTGGCTGCTCACTAACAGTTCTGAGTTCATTGCTGTTTCTTGTCATTTACACTTTTTTTTGGTTAATATTTAAATGAAGGAAAGCAAATTTAGTTCATTGTGACTTCCAGTTCTCCTAAAATCAGGGAGAGCCCTTGGATTTAAAAATCTCAACTGTTTCTTACTTTTTCTGGGGTACTACGTGTTATCATTAAAATAAAGGTTTTATATTATTTTGTAAGTTTTAGCATATGGAACCACCATCTCTATCAAGATATGAAGAGTTACTTTATTCCCCTTCCCAGATCCTCTATCTCTCTCTTCCCCCATTTCTAGTTCCAAGCAGCCACAGATCTGGTTCTACTTCCTATAGTTTTGACTTTTGTAGAATGTCATATAAATGGAAGCATAGAGCACGTTCTTTGAGCACAGTTATATATTCAGTCAGCACAGTATATTGGAGATTCATCTATGTTCTTGTATCAGTTAATTTCTGGGTTAGCTTTCTATCACTTTAACAAATACCTTAGATAACTCATGTATGAGAGAATTGGTTTG